CTCTCTCTCTGTCTCTCAAAAATGAATAAACGTTAAAAAAAAATTTTTTTTTAAATAAAAAATAAAAATACTTTATTGCTAAAAAATGCTAACCATCATCTGACCTTTCAGCAAGTTGTAGTCTTTGTACTGGTAGAGGGTCTTACCTCAATGTTAATGCCTGCTCCGGGTATCAGGGTGGTCAGGGTAGTGGCTGCTGAAGCACTGGATCACGGCAGTTTCTTAAACTAGGACGACAATGAAGTTTGCCACATTGATTGACTCTTCCTTTCACTTGAGCACTGAGAGGCCATTGTAAGGTTGTTAATTGGCTTAATTTCAATATTGTTGTGTTTCAAAGAATAGGGAAGCATGAGGAAGAGAAAGACTGGGGAACCAGTCAGTGTAGCAGTCAGAACACACACATTTATTAAGTTCAGTATCTCATATGGGTGTGGTTCATGGCATCCTAAAATAATTATAGTAGTAACCTCAGAGATTAGTGATCACAGATCATATGGAACTAGAAAAGACCCTGAATAGCCAAAGCAATCTTGAAAATCAAAGCAGGAGGCATCACAGTTCCAGACTTCAAGCTATACTACAAAGCTGTAATCATGCAGACAGTATGGTACTGGCATAAGAACAGACACTCAGATCAATGGAACAGAATAGAGAACCCAGAAATGAACTCACAAATGTATGGCCAACTAATCTTTGACAAAGCAGGAAAGAGTATCCAATGGAATAAAGACAGTCTCTTCAGCAAGTGGTGTTGGGAAAACTGGATAGTGACATGCAGAAGAATGAACCTGGACTACTTTCTTACACCATACACAAACATAAACTCAAAGTGGATGAAACACCTAAATGTAAGACGGGAAGCCATCATAATCCTTGAGGAGAAAGCAGGCAAAAATCTCTTTGATCTTGGCTGCAGCAACTTCTTACTCAACACATTTCCAGAGGCAAAGGAAACAAAAGCAAAAATGAACTATTGGGACCTCATCAAAATAAAAAGTTTCTGCACAGGGAAGAAAACAATCAGCAAAACTAAAAGGCACCCGACGGAATGGGAGAAGATATTTGCAAACAACATATCAGATAAAGGGTTAGTATCCAAAATCTGTAAAGAACTTACCAAATCAACACCCAAAACACAAATAATCCAGTGAAGAAATGGGCAAAAGACATGAATAGACACTTCTCCAAAGAAGACATCCAGATGGCAAACTGACACATGAAAAAATGCTCAACATCCCTCATCATCAGGGAAATACAAACCAAAACCACGAGATACCACCTCACACCTGTCAGAATGGCTAACATTAACAACTCAGGCAACAACAGATGTTGGCGAGGATGCAGAGAGAGAGGATCTCTTTTGCACTGCTAGTGGGAATGCAAACTGGTGCAGCCAC